TTCATTCCAGTATCATAATCAGTAGATAAGAAAAGTTATGACTCTAGCCATTTGATGTTTAATTAAAAATTTTCAGAAATACATTATGTGATTCTCATTCACCGTGATGGAGCCACATGATTTGGTAAGTGACATATAATTTTCATGAGAAGTCCATGGATAAAAAGTACCCTGCACTCCCTTAATTTTCAGACAAAAAAACTGATGCAAAAATCTAATTCCTAAAAACATTGACCACAAATAAAAAGAAAAGCATTACCTCTAAAAAATAAGACTACATCTCTTTCAGGAATTTCATAAACAGCCTCAACTCCATTTGTCAGAAATGGCCAGAACTCAGAAATGAAATTGAGATCTTCATTGTAGTTGGTATTGCTGCGTATGAAGAACCTGGATGTGAAAAGGAAGCAAATGATTTTATCTAACTGTCAGTAACAACCTCTGGCTGACCTCCAATTTTTCTTATCACTAGAACCCAAAACTAACGTCCAAAAAGGTGACCACTTCCAGCATGCCCTTTATTTACATTACATCTTATATGACAAAAACCCTACTTGGAAGTCATTGAGAGATTGAGGTCCGGGAGGCTGCAGAAGGCTAAGGAAGATGTTGAAGGCCACACAGCTGATAAGAGGCAAAGGCTGCTCCTACCAAACCCTCCCCTTCCATGATCTTTCAGTTGGGAGTTTTGCTATGTTCATTTCATATTCCGTAGGGACTGGCATAACAGCACAGCAAGACTTCCACGTGAGCTTACAAAAGAGTTTCCAAGACCAAACAGAAGCACTGTAGCTTGCCAGCCCGGGGAAGGAACAAAGGGTCATACAAAGACTGGGGCATGGGAAAGAACCTCCCTGATCAGTCATTGTAGCAGATGCTGTTGATGTCCAAATCCCTCAAGTTCCCCCACCCCCCAAAATCACCTTCAGATTCCATAGGTATGTCCCATAAATGTCTCTCATCCACTGGACCTGAAGCGGGGTGCCCAAATTGTTGGCTAGTTGACACCTTTGGGAACCTACCTCAAATAATGAGGGAAAGAATTGATGGAAAGCACTCTAGATTTTTTGCTCTTTGGTGGGACAGTTCTGAGAGATGTTCTATGTAGTTTTCAAAGGGTCTGAAATGGGACTGGGTCCCTGCTGCCCATAATGGCAATCAGCTCTTTGATACATCCCTTGTGGGCTCTATACCCTTCTCTGTCTCACTTCCTTATCCTATGCCCTGTAGGATCACCTCCCAAATAAACTGCAGTACAGTATTTGCACTTAAATCCGTATCCTAGTGTATGCTTCAGTCTTCCCCCAGCTGCCTAAGGACTTCACGCAAATCAGTGAACATGTCCAGCCTTCAGTTCCCTCACGGATAAAATGGCATGGTCTTAGGGTATGTTCTTACTGGTCATTTAGGTGCCAAATTACAATATTACCTGAACTCCCTCTGTCAAATACAACATTCCCCTCACACAGTTGTTTTTAAGAGATTTTTTCCCCCTGACATATAGAAAGCTTTCCATTAAGACAGAAGATGGGAAGAAAGTAAGAAAGGGGAGGAGGGAGGAAGGAAAGAAACACAATACATTTAATATGTTCCAGTATTAATCCACAA